TCTATTCACCCAAGCTGGACATTCCAGGTGCACCCCCTTTTGGGCTGTGTACCCACTCCTGTTGTAGTTGAGCCTTGATTGCTGTTGGCACATCAATGGGAGGGATATACCCCTAGGCTGAACAGCTGAAAGGGCTGGCTTTAGCCACGTGTAAGATCAGTTTTGCAGAGGCCCACTCAACAGAGCAGGACTTACTTCAGTGGGGCTCTGGTGCCCACTGAGTCTGCCCGGTGAGTGTGTGCCTGTGGAGGTGGTTGGGTGGTGCTTTGATATGGCCCAAAATTGTCCCATGGTATGCTGGCTCTGGGACCTTCCAGGAGGTGCAGGCCAAGTCAGCCACCGGCATGAGCTACAAAGCCACCTGCAGATAGCTGCTCCTTGTGCTGGGCTTCGAGGTGCCAGGAGGGGCCAAGCTTCAAACCAAGGTCAACTGCCACTAGTGCTGGGCCTGTAGCCACTTAGTGAGAGGTACAGGCCCACTGAGGTCATATGCTGCTTGTTTAAGAGATTCTAGGAAAGTTGGAAGCATGAGCCAAGATAGGCCATTCATATTGAAAAGTCACTGCAGCCCAGCTGGTATGGCTCATTGGTTGAGCATCAACCTATGAATCAGGAGGTCACAGTTTAATTCCCAGTCAGGGTGCATGCCCGGGTTGCAGGCTTGATCCCCAGTAGGGAGCATGAAAGAGGCATCCAATGAGTGATTCTCTCTCTTTCTCCCTCCCTCCCTCTCTGAAATCAATAAAAATACATTAAAAAAAAAAAAAGGAAAGAAAAGCCACTGCAAATAGCTTGGATGGGCTGGCAAATTGAGTGGGACACAAGTCTCAGGGAATCACCAGGTCAGGGTCAACTGTGTCAGCCAGGTTGATGGAGACTCAGATATGGCTCTGTGGGCAGAGGGCTCAGAAAAGGAACAGTGGCCTCTGCCAGCACTTTTGTCTGGAAGAAAGCTCCCCATCCAGCTCTTGCCCTGATGCCAGACAATTCAGTTCCTCCCCTGTGTCCCTGGTGCCTTTTAAGCTGCTGCCCCAGCGCTGGAGCTTAGAGTGAGTGAGTCTGAATAAGTCCATGTGCAGGCCCTTTAAGAGGAACATCTGGGACTCCAGCAGCCCTATGTCTCACTCAGCCTCAATCCTTATTAGTTTTTACAGCCAGAAATTATGGGTACTTGTCTTCCTGGCATTGGAACCCTGGGCTAGGGGGCCTCACTTCTCAATGGGGACCTCTGAAGCTGAGATATCCCTCCTGACTTTTATTCGCTACACGTGAGTGTGGGACTGGCCTGTTCTGCGTCTCTGCCCCTCCAGTCTCTGTGTGATTTCTTTAGTTGTCGGACTTCTGTTCAGCTAGATTTCAGGCGGTTCTGAATGATGGATGTTCTGTAGTTTAGTTGTAATTTTGATGTGATATAGGAGGATGCAAGTACTGTGTTTACCTACATTGCCATTGTGATCAGAACACTTTTTTAAAAATCACTTTATTTTGTTTCCTCATATGTCTGGTTACTTAAAATAGAATATCAGTCATTGTATGTGAAAAATGTAGGGATTTTAGTTCTAGGATGTTATCTCCTTTCAGAAGATTTTCTTGTGGTAGTGGCTGATTTAGGATATTTGAAGCTGGTCTTTCATACGGTGAGTCTCTAGTGTCTTTCCAGTTAACCCTTACTTCTAGGGTATAGTTGGGTTCCTCCAAGTACCTCAGCCAAAGCATTGAACATTTATCAGATTCCCCATCTGCGGCAGACCCTGAACTCCCTGTTTTTCCCTTATAGTTTCTTGCGAGTTCATCTCAACCTCTCATCCTCTTAGCCACCTCTTACAAAACTGGCAGATTATATCTGCAAAAAAGAGCCCTCTTGTTCTGAACTTACCTCTCTGGATTTCTGTAATAATTGTGATTTTATGGTATTTATCCCTATTCTTGCACAGAGCTCCTAAAATCCTTGGAATTTGCTAAACGATAAGAGCTAAAAAGGTAAAAAGAATGTGTGTAAAAAGGTAAAAAGAATAACAAGCCTCTTTAAACACATCTGAGTTTATGTTAATGAGGTGACTTGAAAAACACCTAATTGGGTGGTGGGGGCGGTCTGGTTGTCAAAGGAACCAATCAATTGGGCTCTTAGAGTTGCACCTTCAACCTCATCCCTTTACCTCTGGAAAGAGGAAGGGCTGGAGGTTGAATTAATCACCACTGTCCAATGATTTGATCAGTCATTGTTCAAAATGAGCCCCCATAAAAATCCTAACTGAAGGGGCTGGGAGAACTGGGTTGGTGAACATGGGGAGGTGCTGGGAGGGTGGCATTCCCCAAGGGTCATGGATGCTCAGTGTAACTTCTACGTACCTTTTCTTATGCATCTTTTCTGTCTGGCTGTTCCTGAGTTGTTTTCTTTTAGAATAAACTGGTCATCTACTATGTAATTTTCTTTCCTGAGTTCTGTGAGCCGTTCTAGCCAATTATCAAACCTGAGGAGTGGGTCATGGAACTCCCAATTTGTAGCCAGTCAGTCAGAAGCGTAAGTGACCACCTGGACTTGTGATTGGTGTCTTAAGTGTGGGGTTGAGCAAGGTCTTGTGGGATTGAGCCCTTGCTTGTGGGATCTGTTGGAATCCCAGGTGGTTAGTGTCAAAACTGAGTTAAATTGCAGGACACCCAATTGGTGTTCTGAGAGTTGGAGAATTGCTATGTGTGAAAAAACACACAGACATCAGAAGTGAGTAAAGAGAAACAGGCGTGTTTTTCTTACAGTTCTTCTATATCCTAGCCCCATGATTCTTCATGATCTTATTAGCTCTTTGATGCCTTTAGAGGACTTTTGTTTCATAGTTTTTCCACCTTTTTTAGTTCTCCTGGTACAGCTGATCCCAATTTGGTAATGTCACCTGCCATTACAAAAATAGAACCTCCCTTTGTTGATATTTACTTTATAGTTTTCTTCAGCAGATGTTTGATTGTTTACCAGGCCTTTCCTTAATTTTTCAGTCACTCACTCAAAAAGTTTTTTATTTTCTTAAAAGCTTAAGAAAATGTTTAATATGTATTATACATATGTGTTCCATGTTTAGTGAAGATGCATCAACACCCATTCTGCTTTCATGGAACTTAGCCTGATTGGGTAGAAAGAGGCATATGTAGAGGATAATTATGCAAGACATTTAAAAAACAACTTTAAATGTGTAAGAGAGGAATATAGGTCAAGGTTGCACTGACTTAGAGAAGAAAGATATATTCCTTCCAGTTCAAAACATGGAGTTTTATGTACCATTTTAAGAGATTTTAAATGAACTTTTTATTGAGTCTAAGTTATATACAGTTAGATCTACCCAAATATATACTCCCACGGAACACCACCACCATCAAGGTGAGGAACTTTCCCACCACCACCACCACCACCACCCCAAAATGTCCCTGATCTCCTTCCTGTCAGTTCTCTCTCCCTCCTCTGGCCCCAGTCAACTATTCATTTGCTTTTTGTCACCATCAATTAATGTTTTCTAGAACTTCATACAAATGGAAGCATAAATATATTTTGCTCAAAATGTTGTTGAGTTACATTCGTGTTGGGGTCTATATCCAGAGCCTGTTCTTTAATGTATGCTGTCACAGTTTGTTTCTGTCACTTACATAGGTTTGTTTTTAAACTTGTCAGGTGCACTTAGCTAATAATTTATTTTTTGTATATTGATTACTCATCTTTGACATTCATAAACGTTAATGTCTTGAATTCTAAATGTATAAAGCTGTAAAAAAATGAATTTGAAGAGGTAGACCTCTCATTGCCTACATAATTGTGCCAATAGAGTATGCTGCTGGGACACAGGTGTTTGGATCATACATCACATTTTGACCTTTTATTTGTATAAATATGTTCTAATAGACTCCTTCAAATGCTAGGCTTACTAATGATGATAATGGGATAATTTTAAATCTTGTGATAGCTACTGAGACTACAAATGTAGTTTAAATAAAAATAGGCAAAGTTATATTGTAGTTTTTATTATTGTCTGTAAGATTATTTGGATTTTAGCTGTTTTCAAATTTTAATACCCTCTTAAAAATAAAAGTTTTTATAAAATTTAATATGTATTTCATGCTTTTAAAAATATGACTATGTTGTTATGATTTATTGCCACAGCTTATGGTATTCTTTGAAAAGGCAGAGTAATATTTTCCTTTGGAACTGGATTTTTTTTTTCAATGTCAATTAGCAAACATTATATTCTTTCATAAGGAATGTGTTTTTATATTTTCTAGAATTATAAAATTTTCCTGCTATGGGGTTTGTTTGCCTTTTTTAAACAAAACAAATCTGTACATAAAATTTCTTATACAAAGAAAGCTACCTTATCTCATCTAGTACCTCTTGGTATTTAATTCCTAAAGTGTTGATCTAAACTTTAGTAGATACTCCTTTTGTCACTTGATGCAAAATGTATGTAACATTTTCTAATAGAGTTCAGTTTTTAAGAGCCTAGGCTCTGGATTCAGTTACCTGAGTCTGAATTTCTGTTCTGCCACTTAGCTGTGAAACTGGGGACAAGCAATTTCATTTCTTTAAAATCAGTTTCTCATTGTAAAATGGGGATGTTAGTCATTCTTGTACAGGTTTAGGAGATAATTTACAGAGTTTTTAACACAATGACTGGACTGAATACATGTATGTTGAATTAATGAATGAATGCCTATTCTCTGTTGTATTTAACCTACAACTATATTTGTAAAAATTTGATATTAATGTCAATTTGGAATTCTGCCCTAAATTCTAGGTGACTGGGATAGTTACTTCCTGACCATGGTCATAACTTCATGAGTACTTTTAGTGACTACATGATATACCAATGATAAAAGGCATTCTTGAGATTATGTACGATTCTATTTTAGTTAGTGCAGATTTGGACACTACTCAAGTATATTGGGCAGGGAGGAGGACCTAGCAGGGATTTTAGTTCTGTGTGAATATTCTAGATTCTTTTTTTTTTTTATGTACCATTCAGTCCCTGAACCACAGCTGCTTGATACTGAAGATTGCGACCTCAATGTGGTGAGATTATGTTTTCAAGTTTTCCTCTATGATGAACATGGTAATTTGACGACTACTCTACCTCCTGTGGTGTCTAACCCAATTTATGACAACCGTAAGTACTTTATATTCTTGCATTTGTAGCCTTAGCTTGTTTTTTTTTAGTATAGTATAATTTTTTAAAGTATTTTGGTACTTAGAAAAACAGTATGTTTATTACAGGAAAAATTCAAACATTCCTGAAGTAAATAACAGGAGGTATTCTCCTATAGTAAATCTCTAATTTCATTCTCCACAGGTAGTCACCGTCCTCAGCTACATATCTCACCCGTTTCTTCTTCATATATGTACAAGTACATTATCTTCATCATTCACACTATATAATTTTGGCAACTTTTTAAAGAAATCATTACTGATCTTTAAAAAAACATTTCCCCCCCTTCTTAGCAATGTATCTCAAATCATTTTTCCTTTCAGGCACCCTATTCTTTTCAGTAGCTGCATATTGCCTTAGATGGCTATATCATAATTTTATTAAATCATTACCCTATTACAAGACATTTGGTTTGTTTCCTCGCTTTTTTTCTTTTGGCTCTAAGACTTTGTACTGCAGTAAGTATCTGCATGTGTATATCTTGTGCAAGTCTTTAGCATACACTTGCAGAGTAGACTGTTGGCAAATGCTAGATCAAAGGATACTGATATTTATAGTTTTAAAAGATTATGAAATTGCACTCATAGTGTGTGTGTGTGTGTGTGTATGTGTGTACCTGTCTTGCATGTAGAAAAATAGTGGGACATAGGGCTATAAAGGCAGATCAGATTGTTATCACAGAGAGCTTTGAATTCCAGGGAGAGTTACTGGAATACTGACCCAGATAATAGGAAGCATGAAAAGGGCATTGCCTTAGGGTTATGGTCATGATTTAAGAAGATTAGTTTGGTGACAGTGTGTAGGAGGATGGAAAGAATCAGAATTTAGAAGCAGGAAGATTTAATTAGAGGACACGTCATTGCCTAGAAAGTCACTCTAAACCAGTTTAGACAATGTAGTCAGAAAGGAAAGGGTAAGACGTGGATGATTAATGTAGTGTTCTTAATGTACTTATACATTAAAATTTTTTATCTGTTCTATAGATTGTTCTCCTAAAATTCTCTCCATCAAAAAGGAATAAAATATTAAGGTAGCGACCCATTAAAAATCTCTTCATATTTAGGTGCTCCTAATACTGCAGAATTAAGGATTTGCCGTGTAAACAAGAACTGTGGAAGTGTCAGAGGAGGAGATGAAATATTTCTGCTCTGTGACAAAGTTCAGAAAGGTATTTATTTGTTTTTTGTTTGTTTGTTTCATGGACTTCAGAATATATTTTAAATTAACAGATAACATTTTACCTTGTTTTCCCACTGATAGTTCTTTGCCTTCCTATTCACTAGATGACATAGAGGTTCGGTTTGCGTTGAATGACTGGGAAGCTAAAGGCATCTTTTCACAAGCTGATGTGCACCGTCAGGTGGCCATTGTTTTCAAGACTCCGCCGTATTGCAAAGTGATCACGGAGCCCGTGACAGTGAAGATGCAGTTGCGGAGACCTTCTGACCAGGAAGTTAGTGAGTCGATGGATTTCAGATATCTGCCAGATGAAAAAGGTGTGACTTCTTAGTGGTCATGTTTTATATATTCCTTAAAATTAGGCCTTGTAATAACATTTTTTGGTGAGATACCTTGAAATACAGGTGGCGGTTGTTTTTCATAATTTACATTTCTTTGCCTGGTAGTTTTTCATTGATTTTTCAACCGCTTGATCTGTGTGCTCTTTACACCCCTTTCTTAGGAAAGGAATCTGGAATAATTTCAAAGTATCTAAACTGTTTGTCAAAATTTGTTTTATAGTTGAGGGGGTTTTTATAGATAGCAAACTTGCCAGTCAGTGAGTAGTCTCCATTTTGGTCTTTTCCTGCCTTTATTGCGTTAGTTGACATTGTTGACTTATAGATGTTAGAAGAAAGCGAGATGAATATCAAACTGTTTTTTACTAAGAGAAAAATGCCCTTATCACTGGCGTAGGACACACTCTGCAACATCTATTAAGTCCATATTATGTACATTTATTTAAAGCATTTTTTATATAGGGATAAAACTATTTATTAAAGGAGAAGAGGCATGATGATTCATTCACATGCTTTCCTGGTTTCTTTCTAACCAGATACTTATGGCAATAAAGCAAAGAAACAAAAAACAAGTCTACTTTTCCAGAAACTGTGGCAGGATTGTGGTAAGAATGATTTTGGATTGATTCAAATTTAAATAGATTTTGTGGGGGGGGTTTTGTTTTATTCAGTTTTGCGCATTTTAAGTGATAATGTTATTTTTCAAATTTACATTTAATAATGGAAAAACCTTTATCACAGCAGTTAATTTTCCTGAAAGACCTAGACCTGGTCCCCTAGGATCAACTGGAGAAGGAAGATTCATTAAAAAAGGTATTTTATTCCCTATAAAATATCCCTTGTCATTGGAAAGACCACGGCTATGCATAATATATTGGAATCCCATTCTTAGAAATAAAACTGCTTCTTTCTATTTTCCACGCCTACAAATTTTTTCATGCTTTGAATATTGAATTAATTGATCTTGGCTTCCAAAGGTCCTATTGGAAACTGGTTTTGGGGAGTTACTGTTTGAGAAATTACATTTCGTTCATATGGTGGTACTTTTACTAATTACGGTATGTCATGCAAGAAACTGTTTAGATCTAGCCAGTATACCCTGTCTTTATCAGTAGTTTTGCTGTAACATAGCCGTGCACATTTGATTACAAATTGTCTGTGGCTCTTTTTTCACCACAGTGGCAGAGTTGGTAGTTCCAACAGAGGCTGCAAAGACTAAAATATTTACTATCTGGCTCTTTATAGAAAAAAAAAGTTGTCATTTCTGGTTTCGATCATTCAACCAGGGTTAATTAGAAGTCTTTTGCCCCTTATATTCTTAAACCAGTGCTTCTTCCAGGATTACTATGTATAGCAGTCACAATAATGTGTAAATAAACACAGAATCCTTCATTTTTTTTTCTGACTGGGAATTTGTAGTACCTTAGTGTGTGATATCTTAATACATCTTAGATAATTATGTGGACTTTCAATCATCCCCATTGAGTGTTTCCTCCATCACTTCATTTTTTCTTAAAAAAGAAGAATATGAAATGAATTTTGGCTATTTAGAGTCCCATTAACTGAAATTCTAATATTCATCTCTCACTTTCCAAAAATATCTTTATGGGGCCTCAGAAGCTAGATATTCAGATTTGACTGGAGTGAAATCTGTGCCAAAATAACTTAGCAGTATTATTTATAGGTATTTGTAGAAAGCTAAGTGTCACAGAATTTAGTTTAGGGCTCATGTAATCATTTTAATGCTATCTAAGTTTTTAATTTGAACTGCTACATCATTGTCCTTGAAAATTTTCTTAGTGTGTTTGTGCCGTTTTTAGAAGTAGTACTTTTTGTAATTTTGTTCATTTCAGTGCTGTAATGATATGTTTCCCCCTCCACAGAATCAAACTCTTTTCCTCCTGGTGCGGTTTTGAATGAAATGCTCCGGCCTGCCGGGGTTTCGAGTCAAGCAGAATCTTACTACTCCCCATCTGTTTCCATCTCAAGTGCCATGCCACATCATGCCTCAGCCATGCCCCCAATGGTACCTCAGCCTTCTTCACACTGGTCCTCAGAGCCCCACCCCGCCTCATGCTCAGTCAGTACAAATCCACTGAGTAGTTTTTCGACAGGGACAATTTCCTCTAATTCACAGGGTATCCCAAGATTCTCAGAAATGCCTGTTGTGAATGACGTGCATGCTTCTAATGCTTGCATTTATACCAGTACTAATGACATAGGCAGAATGGAAACATCATCCCTGTCATCAGCTGACTTCTGTGGTTTTCCTGGTGCCAACATGCTGCAGAATTGCCCTGTCAATATATCCAATAATGACAGCATGAGGGAGACTGACAATTCGGGATTTACGAGAATGAATATTGAAAGCCCTTCATGCAACTCGGTGTTAGACCAAAGGGATTTGAGACAGTTCCATCAGATGTCCTCTTCCAGCATGCCAGCAGGCGCCAGTTCCGGTACCACTGCTTTCGCGTCACAGTTGGATGCATTTGAGGGATCCGACTTCAGTTGTGCAGAGAACAGCATGCTAAACGAGTCAGGGCCTTTGAATGGTACTAATCCAAACGGTCATGGTTTTGCTCAAAGTCAGTATTCAGGTATTGGCACTATGCAGAATGAGCAGTTGAGCGACCAGTATTCATTTGAATTTTTTTAGATTAACTTGTAAGACTTAAATGGTGGTTCAAGCTTTAAATCCTTTTAAATGTTTGCAATCATTTTGATATTACCCACATAGAATCAACATTTTCTATTTCTCCCACCATATGTAGGAGATTTCTTTGATAGGCTCTCTTGGCTCTGGAGCTCCTCCAAGAATTGGAAGAGAGGGATGAATTCATTTCCCAACTTCGGGAAGAGCTGCAAAAAGCCCCAGGGCTTTGCTTCAAGAGTAAACAAATCCACACCACTTGAACTCTAGGCTATGATGTCCCCTGGAATCCTATGTGCACCCCACATAGTTTATTTAAACTAGTACATATTTCAGTCTAGGTTAGATCATTATTTGACCATTAGAAGTGTATAATGAATCTGTGACATGTTAAATATTAAATAAAATCAGTTTTTCAATTAAAAAAACACACACACAAAACCCACACCTTCGGGTATGGAGAATACAAAGTTGGAAATTGCCAGAAAAGGAACATTCCAAAGTAGACTTTAAAAGGTTTTAGTGTTTCTCTTTTGAAGCATGTAGCCTGATACTGTGTATGGTGGGAGTTCTGGCTTTAGAGTCCCACCGCGTTTCCACAGAACAGAGCGAAGAGAACATGAGGGCACAGCTCCAGTTTTTCCAAACTTTTTAATATTTCTTTTGTAATGTATTAATGTATTCCTAGTTAAATGAATTAACCAATATTTGCTTTTAAGCAAATTTAAGGTAAAACCTGTAATGGCTATGTCATTGGAAAAATTAATTTCTTATTATTTTTTGAGGCCCATGGGCCAAGGTGACCCCTAAGGGGTTTTTCTGAGGCTTTTTGGAGTTTCTTAGATTTATATGTAAATCAAAATTTCTTTAAAATGCTAAGTTGGACAGAAGGGTGCATTTAAGTAATGGGAGGTTCTCTACTTTTTGGATTATTTAAATCCATATCTAAATTGCTTGAGATTTTAGGTCTACACCTATGTTCGTAAGGGGAAGAAATTTCTTTGGACCTCTTCTCTTACGTGTCCTCAGTCACTGTGAGTTCATCCAATTTCATGCTGTCAACTCTGAAATTTTACCCCTAGTTTAGACCTGTCCTCTGAACAGCAGATTTGGAGTTTACCCATGTGTGTAAAACTGCTTATTTAACATCTATATCTAGAAATCTAATCAGAGATCAAACCCAACACATTCTTGATCTTCCCTCCCAACGTGCTTCTCTTTTAGTTTTCCCCCGTCTCAGTAAATGGCAATGCCATGCCTCTGGTTGCTCAGGTCCAGGTCTGTGGACTCGTCCTTGATTCTTTTTTTCCTTTTATCTCCCATATCCAAATCTGTCAGCAAATCTGGTAGGTCCTACCTTCAGAATACATCCAAAGCTGGCCACCTCTTTTGACCTCTCCCATTAACATCCTGTTCCAAGCAACCATCATCTCTGGCCTGGATTGAAGCTATTTTACCTCCAAAAACCCTCTTTATTTCCTTGTGTCCCTACAGTCTGTTCTCCATAAAGTAGCCAGAATGATTATTTTTAAGCCACATCAAATCATATCATTTAACTGCCCAAAACCATCCGATGGCTCCCCATCTCAGAATAGACACCAAAGTCCTTAAGGTGAGCAGGCCCTCGCTCCCTCTCCTACCTCATCTGCCACCATTTCCCCTGCCATTCAGCTCCAGGTGCTCTGGCCTCCGTGCTCCTCTTCGAGTACACTCCTGCCTTACGGTCTTTGTACTTGTTGTTCTTTCTGCCTGGAATGGTTTTCTCTCAGATACCTGCAGGACCACCCTCCTTACCCCCTTCTCACACCACGTGACCTGCTCAGAAAAGCCTTCCTTGACACTATAACTAGTTACCAGCACATCAAGTCCCTTCCTTTATCTGTTCCCATAACCTTACCTAAGCATTCATTTGTTTACTATTTGTTTTCTTGTACTGGAATATAAGCTCCTTGAGGGCAGAAATACTTGTTTTGTTTGTAGAATACACCGTTTGTAGAACAGTGTCTGCCTCGGATTAAGCGATGAGTAAGCCCTAAGTACTACTGATACAACTCTGTTTTTTGAATAAAGAATAGCTTTAATTATTAGATGCTCATGGTTTGCATAGTGCTATGTAGTGTGACATTGGGTTTCTATCAGAATCATGTACATTTAAGACAACAATTAATTAATGGTAATCCAAATAGTTGGAAGGCAAAGTGTAATTGTGATGGGATTGTCATGATGCTAAGTAACCAACTTATTCACAACCTAGTTTGTTTTATAACTAGAACCTACCATAAATGTTGAGCATATGCCTAGCTAGAAACATGTCATTTTGTTAGAATAGTAAGAAGCTAAGAAAATTCCAGGATAAGCAGAATTTGGAAACTCAGAGTTAAACAGCACTTTGCAGCCACCTAGTAAATCCTATCTTCCCTCAGCCAAGGATACTTAAGAGTAAATGGTTTGCACATCTCCTCCCCAACTGGAAGGTAAATAGCTTAAATCATCCTACTCAGGGAGACATAACAGAAACCCAGTTAGTGCCATTTGCCAACCACACCCAAGGACAGACAATTTAAGAGAATAAATCTTCCCCCTCAGGAAGACAAGAACTGAGGTCTCCTCGTCTCATGGTTAATAATTTCACTAACATAGCATCCAACCAAACCATAAATTTACTGGAACAATTAAAACTAGTCAATTTGGTCAAAATAGAGAAGTTGAGAATGTCATACAAATAAAAATTCTGAGTTGAATGATCCTGGGAAATGGTAATGGTAATATAAGATGAAGATATTTAGGAAGAAAAAGATTAATGATTAAAAAGATTAAAGCTAAGTACCATTAATGTTTCTCAAAAATGATGATTTCTAAATGAAACATTCTTGTTATTATAATTTTAAAAATCATAAGCACATAACATACTTCTATAGAACATACCAAGAGAAATAAAAGCCTGAAGGCATAATTTCTTACCTATTCAAAATATGAACCCAAGATATTTCCCGATAGTGGTTGATAGGTGGTACACTTTTTTAAAAATATAGAATCCTCTAGTTGTGTGTTAATTAGCATTGATCAGCTTAAACAACTGATAGAAAACCTAAATGGATTTTTTAAATTAAATAAGCAGTTGACTTGCAGTTTTCTCTGTGTAAGCCAAAGTGAGGTACTGCTACATCTGTGTTGAGATGGATTTTTTATTTTTCATGTGCCATTTACTGATCATAGGATTTATTTTATGATTTAAAAAGAATGTTATCCCTAAAGGTGTTTACATTTTCACCTGTTCTTGTAACCCCCCACTCTTAGCTTCTGAGGAAAAGGTGCCTTATGCCTTTCTAACCTCTACTGATACACTGGGTCCCCCCTCCTTTTCTCTCCAATCCCCCTCCTGTGTCTTTATCCTCACATCAGCATTTAGTGCCCCTTTTTTTGTATAATAAACATAATAAAAGTCTTCTTTAGCTTAAAAGGAAAGGAACAAACCTCTTCTGCCACCCTCATGCTCCTGCCCTTCACATCCAGACTCATGACATGCTTTCGGTCTCCATGTCCTCATTCCCGGTCATTCCTTACCCTCTCCTCTCTCACTTTACCTCCTGCTATTTTCTTCTGCTGTTCTGTGGAAGGTGACCTGGGACGCCCTCCCTTGTTAAACCTAGTATCTTTGTAGCCATCTACTTCCTTTTGTATGTTGGACTATCTGTGACCTTCCATCCCCTGGAGCACTCCCTCCTGGGTACTCCTCCAAAGATTCTGTGGTAGAGAACATTCTTCTCTGAGGTTGATTTTTTACTCTGAGTCTCAACCCTGGGCCCTCAGTTGGTGCTATTTTCCCCCCAGGGTGACCTTATCAGTGCCCACTCCAGCTTTCTCTCAGGCTATCTGAATGCTTTTAGAACTGGTTCTTCCTTTTGCTACTCTAATGGCATTACCATTTACCCTGCCATCTAAGATACTTAAACAAAACCTCCAAACCTCACATTCCTCCGTAGTCATGAAGTCCTTCTGAATCTGCCTCCCCTAAATCTCTTGAATTTGTCCTTCAATTGCCACTGAGTTCTTAGTGTAGGCCTTCCTTCTTTTTCCCCAACAAGAATATATTTTCCAAATGCTCCAGTTAAAAATAACACCCCAGTTCTAGCCGGTTTGGCTCAATGGATAGAGCCTTCAGTCCCAGGATTCGATTACAGTCAAGGGCACGTACCTCGGTTGCAGGCTCGATCCCCACCTTGGTTGAGGTGCTTGCAGGAAGCAACCAATGGATGTGTCTCTCACACTGATGTTCCTGTCTCCCCCTCCCACTCTCTAAAAAAAAAAAAAAATCATTGAAAAAATACCCTTGGGTGAGAATTAGCAAAAAAAAATACCATCCCATCCCCCCTTATTCCTTATTATCATTCTTTGAAAAAAAACTCTGGGCATCCATTCCTTTCATGTATTATATACTCTACCTGTATTGTTCAACCACAACACATCGTCTTTAAGACTAGGCTTCTCTGTGAAACTTGAGCCTGCCCCCTAGCTGAGGTACAACTGTACATTGCCCCTGTTGGAGAACTCCCTCTGAATTGTAGTCACTTAAGGTTTGTCTCATTCATCTTTGGGATTCTTTCCCTTAGCATGATCCCTGGCATAGTTGGTGCTGAATAAATGGTAGCTATTATTAGAGCGTCAAGGTTGAAATTGACACAGGAGTGATATATAAGGATGGGGTTCTTTTTTTAAAAATTGTTTTATTGCTTAAAGTATTACAAAGAGTATTACATATGTCTCCTTTCCCCCCCCCCCCCTTGACAATCCCCTGGCCTTCCCTACCTTGCAGTGTCTTATGTCCATTGGTTATGCTTATATGCATGCATACAAGTCCTTCGGTAAGGATGGGGTTCTGAAAGGAAAAGGTACTTAACCTGACAAGAAAAGCATTGATGCCAAGATTTTCAAGTTTGTGAAACACTTTACCCTCTGCCTCCCATGTTATTAGCTGTATTAGGTAGAAATTTTACAGTTATTAGGATCGTCTCATATGTCTGACTTGGCTACTTCTCTCTCTACTGTATGTGAGGGGTTTAACCTCAGTTCTCTGTGCATTTCCTGGACATCTTACCATTGCACAGACACTGGAGTCTTCATATAATCAAATCACATGTCACACTTTTTTTTAATATATATATATATTTTATTGATTTTTCACAGAGGGATAGAGAGTTAGAAACATCAATGAGAGAGAAACATTGATCAGCTGCCTCCTGCACACACCCTACTGGGTATGTGCCCGTAACCAAGGTACATGCCCTTGGCCGGAATTGAACCCGGGACCCTTGAGTCCGCAGGCCGACGCTCTATCCACTGAGCCAAACCGGCTAGGGCACATGTCACACTTTTTAATGTCTATTGTGCAAAGCACCATGTTTGGTTCTGGAAATGATAGAGAGGTGAATGAGGCAAAACTCTTTCTCAAAGAGGTCAGTCTTTTCTTTTGAGGGAAAACATCTACGGTAAGGTGCATAAAGTGGATTAATTTTAAGTGAACAGCTTGAATATTTACATACATAGACAGTCATTTCCAGCACCCCATAAGTTTCCCTCATGCCCATTGCCAATCTACCTACTCTTCAAAAGCCCTCTTCTGATTTCCATCATCAGCACCTATCTTAACAGCCTTTTAAAGTAGTCACTGGGCCTCTACTCAGAACCTTGCTGAACAGACACAGTTGGATTGTCAGTTTCTAACCTGATACTTCAGAAAAACTAATTATACTAGTTCTCCATGTTAAAGACTTGGAATTGGTGATCTAGGCTGCCTAGTAGCACCAACTAAGTTGTTATAAATTGATTTATTGAGGGATTAAAGAAATGTCCATGGGATTTTTAAATAGCATGGAGAAATGGAAAGGATGGGGAATTTTTAGTCAGACATCTGGGTTTTAATCTTCAGCTCTGCCACTTAAAAGCTGTGTGATATTTAACAAAGCACACCTTGCGTGAACCTGTCTCTTCAGATATAAAATTGCAGGTAATGCCCAGCCTACCTACCTCACAAGGTATGTTGTATTAAGTGAAATAACGCATAAGAAACACTGTAAAGTGTATAGTACGAATCAAATACTGTTAAACCATCCGTGTATGTCCTGGGTCCCTGGTTAATCCCTAGTCCAAACGCTCCTTCCAGTGGCAGAGTGAAAAAAACCACCATGGGTTCTCTTTCCATAATAGGCGTCCTGAAACCGGTTTCTGTTTGGAGTAGCCAGCTGCTGCCCACATCTGGAGGTCCTTCATTCGACTTTATTCTTTCCAATCTTTAGCCATTTCCCATTGTATAGCAAAGGTAGGTCAATCTGAAATTCTGTGACTTTCTTCCTAAAAAGAGGTCTCGTCATAGCTAATGAAGTTACCACTTTAAGATTCCTTTCCTGTTTTGTTTAAGTATGGGGCAAAATTAGGATGTTTATAAACAATTATTTTTTCTAAATATTTTTTTTTTCTATCCTAAATGTCTATGACTTTAGGGAAAAGATACCACCTGCTAGTAATTACCTGTTTAAAAGGAGTGGAATTTATCATATTCTAGTCATCTTAATCACCTGCTTCTACAACTTCAGTTTACTATTGGACTTTCAAAAATTTAAAGAGTTACAAAAAAGATTCATTAAACACCTCTGTATGAACAATAATTAGTACAAATTGTTGGTGCTTCAACAAATTGAGTTTTCAGAGATATCAGCAGGTAAATAAATGACAAATTGGTAAAGTATCAAGTGTTTATCTTGCCTATTTTCCTTCTTAAACTTTATTATCTAGTCAAACCATTATAACATTGTATAACATGTAGTAAGAATTAGATGAGGTTGGAATATTTGGGGATCCATTTGTGGAATTCAGTCTCAGGAGACTTCATTGATGACACAGTTGAGGTAGCTTTAAGAGGAAATGGAAAGGACACACAAGATTTTTAGGAAATGGACATTCTTAAATGCATGGTTCAGACCACATGCACCCTTTAGAAATTATATCTGTTTTACCGGAATGTACTTACAAATGCTTTTGATTATGAGGATGCACTATTACATTTCTTACTGTTATAATTTTTAAAAGTTCTCAGGCACCGTTGAATTATTTAATTGTTAAGTGTGATGTCAAGATGCAGTTATTTTACAACAGGAATATTTTCTTTTATTGTACAGAATGTTGTCTTTGTAATATCTTTGTATACAGTAATTTTTTTTCTTGGTAATATAATAAATGGAAAAAATTCTAAAACCCTTACTAAAATGTTGTTGCTATTTGACTTTAAAAATATCAACGAGATGTTCTTTGTATTTATAGCATCTTCCTCACAGAGAAAGCTAGTTTTGGTTGCTTAGAAACAGTAGGCATTCTAATGGAATGCTGCAGCTGGAAATACTTGCATATATAACTGTCCTTTGAGATGACAGATAATTTTGTAGAGTACTAAAATGCCTTTTTAAAAGATTTTTATTTTCTGCCTTCCTGACTTATTTCCTGCCTGTTTCTCTTCCTTCCTGAATAACTAAGGACAAAAGTCATTCACTCATTCTGAGCAAGGCACAGGTAGGTATTAACCACAGCAGGTGGGATTACAGTATGCAGAGCCCAAGGAGAACATGTAGGGTAGTGGGGAGGGGAGTCTCAGTGATCTGAAATAGGGATGCAGCCTTAGGAGATCACCTAGGAGGGGGACTGATCTATTAAGTTAATACATTAAAGCTAATGGGAGCCAGATTTCTCACTCTCAGTGAAAGAAATGGCAAACATGGAAAGGGAGAGAAAACTAGAATTAAGATTGGAATTAGAAATAGTGGTATAATTCATAGTGTTCAATATATGTAAAAAAAATACGTAGAAGTAAGCATGACTATGTGCATGCCATGAGAAGGCTTGGGAGCACCAATACCACAGTAGCAATGAGCAGACCTAGTGCCCGGATTTTGGTTTATAAATACCATTTTCTACTAAAAGAAACTAGTTCCTCTTAGTGAAATAGCCCACACTAGGGCTGGTGCAGATGAAATACAAGATGAGCTTGGAGTGTCTTTTTGTATTAAAGCAGCAGCATTCAAAAATAATTAAAGAACATTCTCCAAGAATAATAGGATCATGTTAAAAGGACACAGGACTCAGCTTGGTGGGGCATCCACTGGCCAAATCAGTACTTAGAAATCAAAATAAACATCAGCAACAAATTGTAACTCATTGAATAAAACAGGAAGCCATGAATACACAAGAAGGAAAAGTTTTAACTAATATAGAACTTACCCAATGCCAACCAAAAAATATTAATGAGGAGGAAACTAGTTTTGCAAGGCATGTCAGGCCATAAAAACTGTAAACAATGCACTGCCCTGGGGGGGGGGGGTAGGCGGAGGGAGGGTTATGCTGGCGCCAGGATGTGGCCTGACACCTGGGGGCCTTGCTGCAGGGCCACGAAGGGGGCAGGGGACATAGGGCATATTTGCAAGACAAAGACCCCAGC